TGCCACCATCATTTTAACAAAAGTCCAAAAGAGCCTAAGGATCAGGCACCTGGAGGGGAAGTCCAGGAATTAGTTTAAGGCACTGACTAATTTCTAGACTCATGAGGGCCTGTTCTTGACGTACCTCAAAGGTCTTTGTGAGACCTAATCAGTGGGAAAGGGCAGGAATTACCTAGAACAACCCATACGTGGAAAACTGTTTATGAAGGGTCAGTGTGTCTTCAGCAACAAATACTCATTGAGTCCCTTCCATGCGCTGGCCACTTTCTGGAACAGAGCAAACAAGGCACAGTAAGACCCACACAGGCTCATACATCACGGGGAGGAAGAGAGACAATATGCACAAGCACAACTAACAAATAAATGAATAACACAAAGTCAGTTAAGTCATGAGGGCTATGACAAAAACTATAACAGATAATTTTAACTAGCCTGGTTAAAGAAGGCCTCTCTGAAGCAGAGACATGGCTGTGTTCAGTGAGCATCTATGACTAGAGCAGGCGAGCCCAGGGAGTGAGGCAGAGGCTGGGTTCCATGGGGTGCGGGCTGTGAAGGTCTGAGCTGGTAGTGACTTGATCTGAGTTTTGCCTGGGAAAGGTCATTCTGCCTGCTCTCAGAAGGTGGGCTGAGCCAAGTCACTGGTGGAGGCTCCTATCTCCTTCCTTATTTTGGATCCTTATCAGAACCTGAAAGCATATTTTTAATCTAAATTTTTATTTCAAATTTAGTGAGGTAGCAGTGGTACATTTCCCAATGCCAGGTGTAAGTCTCTTCGCAGTATATTGTGTGTCACCACTGTTCTAGAAAAGTGCCTCAGTTTTAAAAGTAAGCCCTTTGTCCACCTGAGCACACATGACCTTCTTGGATGGCACACTCCCATTTGGGGTCCAGAGAAGGTCACTGTACCAAGTGGCCTTTTATTGAAGGAATCTTCTCCTCTCTCTATCTCCCAGGCAGAAGCACCAATCTCAGACTAGGCCAACTGGACTGAATAATCTGGCCTTTCTCAAGTGTTCCTGCCTGCTCTGGGGAACCCAGGCTGTTCAGTATGAATCACACGGGGCTGGTGGGTTCTGTCTTTCCATGTGGGTTGAAAAAATCACACTTCTTATTTCATTTTTAGTCACCTCATGCCAGGAGCAGTGCGTTTATGGAAGAACATGGTGGGAAGAACACAGAACATGGTATCGAGGCCAGCTGTATTTCCATTTTATCGCTCCCTTTCCCACACTCCAGCCAAACTGAGTCACTCCCTCCGTTCACACCCACACCATTTCCTCATCTATTCCTTCATCCCGATTGTTCCCACTGGAACCCTGGTCCATATTCTTGAGGTATCCATCCCTTGGACCTCGTCCTTCAAAGCCTGGATCATATGTCATCTTCTTCAAGAAGGCACTCTAAGAGTCCTTGACCTCCTGTGAGATTTCCCACTGCGGAGTCCCCACAGCATTTGCAGGGGCATAGGTTCTGGATTCAGACATATCTGGGCTCAATCCAGTTGAATGACCTTGGGAACATGACCTGTCCTCTCTGAATCTCAGTCTGCTTGTCTCTAAGGTAAGGAGGATAACTGCACTTACATCATGGCGTTGTTGAGCCAGGAAGATGAGATCATGCATGCAAAGCCTTTGACACTGTGACTGACGTATGGCCAAGACTCAATAAATGGGGATGGTTATTGTTAGTAGAATCACATGTGCGTTGTCTCATATCTCTGCACACTACCCTACTGATCACCATTCCTTGGCAGTGTCTCACATGGAACCTGGACACCCACACTCTGCTTTTTCCGACTTCCTTGGATGGAGTCCATCTCTTCCAGTCTTGCACTTCCAAATCATGACACTAGAGAGCAGCAAGAGAGCACAGACACTTTGGAAGAGCGGCAGGCCATCTTGGATGCTCTTTCTCTTGGCTAGCCTGTAGAGTTGGTAAGACACCCGCTGTAGAGTCCTCTTGCTTGAATTGTATTCTCATTCCTTCGTGCTAGGAAAATTTCAAAAAGCACATAAGCCAAAAGCTAATCATTGTAGTCCTTTTGAGAAGGTTTCCTCACTCCCCAGCAGTTTGCTTTAGCTAATCAAAATCAGCCAGGGTGCTGGTTATATACTCTATACTATGTTCCATGTTTTTAGGATTGAATGGGTTAAAAAAAAATGCAGAATGCTTTGAACAATGCCTGGCATATAAGAAATAAATCAAGCCTATTTTAAGGGGCCAATTAGGGCAGTGAATAAAAAGAAGCAACAAAAATAAAGGGGACTTTTGAAATCCCAAAGGGGCTCTGTGAATCACTCCTTTCATTTGCTGAGCCCTTTCTGTAAGCTAGAGCCCATGCCAAGTACTTTGCAAATATTATATCATAACCATACCAATGTTAAGAGAAAGGTCAGTATGTCTGTCTACCTTTTAACCACTGACATGGAATACATGTTTATATTTCCCCTTCCCCTGCCCCCAGATTTCTATGTTGAGATCCTAATATCCAATGTGAGAAGGTTGGACCTTTGGGTGATTAGGTTATGAGGGTGGAACTCTCATGAATGGGATTAGTGTCCTTATGTAGGAGGTCTCCCTTCTCTCTTCTTCCATGTGAGGACACAGTGAGAACAGTGGTGTGTGAACCAGAAATAGGCTCTTACCAGACAACAAATCTTCCAGCACCTGATCTTGGACTTCCCAGCCTCCGGAACTGTGAGAAATAAATGTTTAAGCCACTCCGTCTCTAGTATTTTAGTCATAACAGCCTGAGTAATTTCAGAAAACCATGAAGAAAGAGATCAGAGAGATTATGCAACTTGCCTAAGGTCAGCCAGAATGTAAGTAGCGGAGTTGGGTTCAGTGCCACCTCTGTCAACTGTAGCATGCACCCTTTTAGCCTCCAAAATGGCGCCTCACCTGGTCAGGCCATTTCATTTGTTTATTGTTATTATTATCGTTGTTGTTACTGAGTTGCCTTTTGGAACTTGGAAAAAATAATGGCCCACATTAAATGAGGTAGAGTTGCAGAACTTTAGCAGAGTGCTAATAATAGGATAGAGTTTGAGAGGTGGGTTTACTTGAATGAAGCTCTTATATCCACCAAGCCCATCAACTGAATCTGTTCTTCTGAAAGCCCAGAGGACTGTCCTTTCACTAAAGTTATAAGGAGTGTCCTGGTGAAGGGGCAGCAGCATTACTGAGAAGCCAAATAGTGGTTGTTTCTTGTAGTCTGGGCTGAGATAGGACATGTTTATTGTCCTGTGCACCCAACTTACACTACCTCAGCCAGGTGCTCAAGTTGATAAATGTCACTAGGATGTACTCTTTATATAATGTTTTGAAATGGTACTTGACCTCTGTATTCTTCCTCCTCAAACCCCATAACTCCAGTCTAAACATGAGAAAAATATCAGGTACACCCAATTTAGGAACAGTCTAAAAAATACTGACCAGGTCCCCTCAGAACTGTCGAGGTCACCAAAAACAAGGAGAGTCTAAGAAACTGTCAGGGTCAAGAGGAACCTAGGGAGGTAAGACAACTACAGTGTGACTGATGGAATCTTGGAACAGAAAGAGGCATTAGGTAAAAAACAACTAAGGGAATCAGAATAAACCACGTACTTTATTTATTTATTTTTTAATATATTTTTATTGATTTCAGAGAGGAAGGAAGAGGGAGAGAGAGAGATAGAAACATCCATGATGGGAGATAATCATTGATTGGCTGCCTCCTGCATGCTCCACACTGGGGACCGAGCCCACAACCTGGGCATATGCCCTGACTGGGAATTGAACCATGACCTCCTGGTTCATAGGTCAATGCTCAACCACCTAGCCATGCTGGCCGGGCAACCATGTATTTAGTTAACAATAAGGTATCAATATTATTTTGTTAATCAATATAATGAATGTACCACACTAATGCAAGATGTTAATAAGGGAAACTAGGTGTGGAGTATATGGGAACTCTATACTCTCTCCTTGACTTTTCTGTAAATCCCAAACTGTTGTAAAATATAAGGTCCATTAAAAAATCAAAACCTAAAACTTAAAAATAATTTTTCATATATTCCAGGTGTTTCTAACCACTTCTCCCTCTACTCCCAAGCTCCTGCCTCCCTCCCCCCCCAATTATACCCAGATTTTCTTTTAACTCTTGTCCCTTAAGTAATGAGAGTCACTGACAAGTGTTAACCTGAGTGTTGCTGTTAGATCAGAATTTTAAGCAGAACACTCTGTCCTCTATGTGATGGGTGGATGGACAGAGGATAAAGAAAACTAGCTTGAAGGCCTTTGCAAAAGCTCTGGTAAGAAATGATCTCAGTCCAGGCTTGGGAGGTGTGTGTAGGGAGAGCCAGGACTTGATTGTTGGTGGGGAGTAGGGAAGAAGAGAAGAGGGGTGAGGAATGATGATGGTATCTCTGGTTTAGGTGAAAGCACAAGTGGTAATATTGTTCCTCAAGAGAGAGAATACTAAGGAGGAAAGATAGTGAGTGTTGCTGGAGTTGGGTGGGGAAAGGGGAGGATGCTAAATGCCATTCAGACCTATTGAGTTTGGGTGCCTATGGAAGTATCAGTAAGGATGTCCCTGACCTATCCTCATGCCTACGGATAATGAGACAAACTGCCTGATAATGATGTGGTTAAATAGTTAAAGGCTGGTGATCCCCAGGAAAGAGAGAGCTCCACGTCTTGAAATGATTGATGGTGGTAAAGACTACAGAAATGTCAGGGAGGGTAAAGGATACAATGACCTTGCATTTGTATTTTTCCAGCTGATTCAGCATTTTGGCTTCCATGATTTCAGCTGGCCTAGCCTTTACTTCCTTTAGTGACACTGTCATACTCCCCATCAAAGACCGGTCCCAGGAGTTTCTCCTCTCCTCACCTTGCCCAATTCTGCTTCTAATACTGTTCTAAAATTTTCTTTAACCAAGTAGGTAGTGCATAAGACTCTTGGAAAACATGAGGACATTCTACAGAGAGAAAATCCAGGAAGGGACCAGAACCCAGAGGGAACTCTACTTCCTGCCTACCCCCTTGGGCTAAAATTGTGCTCCATGAGTATAAGGCAGTGCTTGGCTGAGACAGCCAGATCCTCTTCCCCCAACCAGAAAAACTTATCCCCCCCTTCAAAACTGGCAAGTGTTCCTTTGCTTTGGTGTTGGTTTGGTTTCATTTTTAGAAACTATTCAAAGTTTTGGGTGGTTTGGGGAACAAAGTTAGAGAAGGGGGTCAAGATATCTGTCCTCCTTTGGGAGTTGGCCAAGAGAGTCAGTTGCAACCATTGACCTATACATGGGTTTTTAATATGGTGAGAGGCAGAGAAACAAAAGCCAAAGAGAATACAGGATCCCAGACTTCCAGGATTTATTCTGTATCATTGTACACACTCACAGATTCTGCTATAATACTGGGGATGGCGTCAGAGTGACTATAGTAACTGTCCTCAGGCAGAGGTTCTGGCCACCTGAGGTTGGGATGGGGTGGGACTGGAGTCATCAGGAGTAGGTCCTGGGTATTAGCTCCCCCCTCCCCCATCCCACTCTATCACAGAGACAAGCAGGGGGACAGGGTCAGGCAGGTTCACAGATGAGGTGGGCCATCCAGACTGGGGGACCTGAGGTAAGTGAGGCCACTGGTTCAGCTCTCTCTTCGCTTATGTGCGGTGGCCTGAGGGCCTCTGGGATCTGGGGGTGGTTACTTATGCTTGAGAGGCCACTGCACCTCCTGCTTCTGCTGTTGCTCCTCTGCAGGGGGCAAGACTTCTCCCTTCAGTGGCTGGACTGGGTGGGTCTCTTGGGCCTGGCCAGGAGCTGGGACACATGCAGGTTGCTCGAGCTGCCCATCCAGCTGCTCTGCTGGCTCTGGCTGCTTCTCCTGCTGTCCCGGGTGCTCCAGCAGCTGCTCTCCTTTCTTCTCCAGTTGCTCATCTCTCTTTGCTAGCTCTCCATCCAGTTGCTGGTCTAGGAGCTTCTTCTCCTGTCCCAGCTGCTCCTTTAGCTGTTGCTCCCTTTGTCCTTTAGTCTCCTCCAGCTGCTGCTCCAAGTTTTCTGCTTCCTGGTCCTCATACTGTTCCTCTTGCTGCTGCTTCCCCTTCTGCTCCTGTTGCTCCTCCTGCTGCTGCTGTTCCCGATGCTGTTCCTGCTGCTGTAGCTTCTGGGGTTGGGGCTCACAGTCTTGCTCTGGCACCCCCTTCACAGGAGTTGTGTGTTTCTCTCCTTGCTCCAAGGGGACCTCCCTTGGGAGCTCAGAGGGCACCTCCTGGCATGGGACAGGCAGTGGAGTTGGCTGCTTCACCTGCTCCTGCTGGATATCAGCGGGAGGAGGAACAGGCTTGAGGGTCTCCTGGCTGAGGGCTGGGGGCAGGGTCACTGGCAGAGTGTGTTGCTGCTGGGACATCTTGGAAGCTGCTTCAGGTCAACCTGAAAAACAGAAGGGGTCAGAGGGGTGGCTGAAGAGAGGAAGTAGAGGAATTCCCAAGCAATCAGTGCCTGGTTCCTCAGCAGCCCCTCTCGTCCCCGGGGCCAGGTCTCTCCCACAACCTCCAGCTGTCATTCCCCAGAAGCAGCAGAGGGAGGGTAGTGATGGGGAGAGGCAGGGAGAGGCCCTCCTGGGAGCTTCCTTTCCTGCGAGAGTTCTGTCTCCAGAGGTGCTCCGCAAGGGTGGGCTGGGAGCCACTCTGCCTTCTGCTCATCCTTGCCTCTCCTCATTTCTGACCTCCAAGGAGGAAAGAGTTTGGGATCATAGCAGAAAGAGGTAAGGTCCTAGGAAAGTCCTGGAAGCCATTAGCCCATGATGGAGAGGAGGTGAGAGGTCATGGCGTGAGCTCTGGATTGGAGTCTCATGACATATTCTTGGTTTAAATATCTCACTGAAATACTGTGTGCTCCTGGGCCAGGCACTTAGCCCCTCTGGGCCCCAGCTGTCTCCTCTTTAAAATGAGCAGGTTGGCCTATTAACTGCAGAGCTGCTTTCGCCATGAGCTCTGAGCTTTCCCTGCAGCCTCAGTGCTCAGGTGTGGGGTGGCGGGAGGGGCAGCAATGTTGCTGAGAATGGAGCTGGCTCTTCCAAATCTCCACTTGTAAGTTCGGATTTCCTGCCCCTGCTCTGCCTGGGTTTCTCCAAATAGAAAGTTTTCTCCATTCTGAAGTTTGCCCTTTTGCCACAGAGCCAAGAGTTACAAGCATTTCCCTGAAGCCTCTGCCCCCATAAGAAAGGCAAAGTCACAGTCAACCTAAATCAAAGAATTAGGAAACAATTTGGACATATTCATGCTGCATCCTCATCTCACTGCCCCGCCCTCTGCCTCACTCTTACTCTTTCTCACATACACCACACACACACACACACACACACATTCCAAAACATGGCCCCAAGGAAAGCGGCGACTGGAGGACATTGTCATCTTTTCTGTTTCCATCCCATGACACCTATCCCTCAGCACAGTGACCGGAGACCTTCCAGAAGCACAGGTACTGCAGCTGAATCCAGTCCATGAGGATGCCTGCACCCACCCTGGCTGGCCCCCCAGCCATGCTCTGCCTGCTGGAGGCCCCCAGTTCCATCCCTGGGGGATGGCTCACACTTACCAGGCCCACAGGAAGGATGGCTGGACGGGCTTCTAGTGGAATGCTGAGCTGAGCTTAGCAGGGGCCAGGGCACCCTTTATACTGGTCCCAGACTGGCGGTCTTCCCAGGTTGAAGGAGATGGACTGGTTCCACCACTTCCTCCAGCCCCTCCCTGACACATCACAGGCACCTGAAGTAAAAAACCCCTCAGGGCCCCGTTTCACAGACAGACATAGCTCCTGCCTGGCCAGAGGGCTCTGGTGGCTCAAGCACCACTGCCTCACTCATGACCTGGGCACAGGGAGGTGAGGGAGGCAGCTCAGGAACCAACTCCCCTTTGCCTATTGTTTTGTGACCTCAGCCAAGCAACTCTGAATCTCAATTTCTCCACCTGTAGATTGGGTTTATCCCCATTACTAGGCAGAGATTCATTTCCAAGGGCAAGAAATGGAAAATTATGTTTCTCTCTGGAATGTCCACACAGGGTATGTGGTATAAAGGTGGTAAAATCCCTTCTCATGAAGAGATGGGATTCGTGAGGGCTCTCTTAGCCATTAGCCCACAGCCATGTATTCTCAAGACCTATCTATAGCTCTATGCTGTCAGGAAATAAACCTGTTTTTTTAGGCCCAATAGGGACAAATGGAAGGCTCATAGGAGTCTCCCGCTATGTGCCTTGGACTGCCCATGCCTAATATCCAAGGCTGTAGTTCAGAAGCTCCCAAGAATAAAAACTCATAGAAACTCCAAAAGATGGGCCACTCCAGGCAAGAAAACAAGCATTCAGCATACAATATATAAAATAAGGATTGCTTTTTATGATGGTAAAACAACCACTTTCTAGAATTCTATTGGAAATTAATAAAGGTATGAAGATAAAATCAAATCATCCATTGTTTTCCCAACCCATTCCCTAAAAAGAGTTTAAGTCATATTGCAGATTGGGTACTGCAGCTTGTCCTTCCCTGATACTGGTGGTGACTGAACACACCTAGAATAAAGTCCGAACTCACTGCCCTGGTTTCAGAGACCCTTGCTGACGGCCCTCATTTCCCAGGAGGAGCTCAGTGCTCCCCACCTTGAAGCTTGTTGTTTCCAGAACCCTGGCTCTTTGTGCCTCAGCATCAGCAGGAAGGTTGGGGCTGCCAGCAGCCTTCCCTGAGAACCCATCTACAGGGTGACCTTCCGGTTCACTTCATGTCACCAGGAACAATTGTGGCCCTCTGTGTGCATTTGCTCACTTATCTATTTCCTGTCTCTCCCACTGGAAAATAAGCTTTATAAGGCAGGGGTTGCTTAGCCTGGAGTGTGTTCCACCATGTGCCCAGAACCCATCATAAGCACCACCTGGACTCAGTGCTCTACAACTGTTAAGTGAAGGAAGGAAGGAATGGACCGTGAATCTCACCCCCGGGAGATAACTACTATCAAAGGATGTAGAGTGATGTGTGTGTGTGTGTGTGTGTGTGTGTGTGTGTGTGTGTGTGTGTGCGTGCGCGAAGAACAATTGTAATTGCTTTTTAATAATTGGTATATAGGTTATTTTATGGACATTATTTATTTAAACTCTCTTCTTTATAACCAAATTAAAATAGAACTGTTAGAACAATATGAAGACAAATACTCATTTCTGGGGCTCATTTTGAGAAGTGTCCTGATTCCTCATGGATTTCCCAAAATGCACCTGTCTTCCAGCCCCAAGTAGATCAATTTACAATGCTAACTTAGCCATGCTCTAGGGGGCTCAGTCTTGAAAGACAGATGGAGGGACTCCTGCCCTCTCCTTCTTCCTTTTCTGTTCCTCGAGCCCACCTGGGACCTCACTCTGCCTTCTCCATAGCGCAGACACTGTGTCATTTTCTGGGGCTGAGGAAGTCCCCCCTCACCCTCCACCCCCACCTCCGGTCATGGAGAGCTACCCAAGCATCCTCACATCGGCACCCGTGGCCTTGAACTCTGCTGCTGACCTCACATGGCAGGAATCTGCCTCTCCCCAGCTCATGACAGTGAGTCCCAGGGCAGCAGACCCTGCTCCCAGAAGTCACACTGGTCTTATGGGTTTCTAGGGGTTGTATCTGCCAGATCTGCCCCCCGCCCTCTGATTCACAACATAATGAGAGCTTTTGGGGGAGACTGTGTGTGAGAGCCTTCAGTCACTGGGCAAAGTTAGGGTGTGGGAAGGAGGGAAGAGCATGAAGCTGAGGTGTGTGTGAGTCGGACAGAAGGTGGAAGAGCCCCAACATTTTAAGGGCTCAGAGGCCTCATTCTCTGCCCTCTGGTTACCCCATTTGGGGGCCAGGCATGCATGTATATCGGAGAGATTCCTTCGGTGTCTGTGTGAATGACCTCATAGGTCCACATGATGAGTGAGGGTAACTGTCCGGCCCCCGTCCGATGTAATGAGGATGAGATCACATCCCATGACACCTACAGAGGCCTTGACCCCAGCCCTGCCCCAGCCCGAAGAGGCCCTGGCTCTTTCTCTTGCAGAGGCAAAAACTAGCAGGTATGTCTTTCTCTTAGAGTGTGGCAGCCTATGTGGACTGTTGTTTAGCTGTGGGAGGGCAGCGTTCACTGCCCTGGCAGGTGGAGGGAGCTTTGGGAACAGCTTTTAGTTGGCAGTATGAGATGACGGCAGATGGCCCTGGGAATGTGACGTGGGCCAGGAGGTCTTGTGTGCCCTCCCATCTTGGGGAGCCATGCCTAGGCTGTTTCTGGGTGAGGCAGTGGCCCCATACTCTGCAGCTGCTAACCTCAGATCCCTCCCCATAGGCCTCCTCCTCTGCCCAGGGCACTGTCAGCTATGCCATCTCAATCTGCACCTGCACTAGTCACCTCCCCATGGGCCCAGAATCCTCACCATCCTCCTCCATGGCCTCCTGGACCTGACCTTTGCCCCTCATTTGCCTTTTGTGCCCATATGCTTCTCTGGAGGGAGCAAGACAAGGAAGGGAGATGGGACCACGAAAGGGCCAAAAGGCTGATTCTCCTTCTGTGGGCGTTGGTGCTGGTCTGTCTAATGTGCCTGTTTGGCCTTCTTATGTCTTCCTCTGGCTTCCCTCTTGGCCTGTGGGATGGCTGGTCTCATTTCCAGTCCTAGTGCTGATTATTGCTCTGCTCACTGTGGTAGGCCAGTCCCAGGCCTGTTCTCGGTGCAGTAAGAGGAGCAAAGGCAGGCACAGCTCCCCGGGTGGGAAGAGGAGATGCTCAGTGTCCTCTCTTCCAGCTGAAAGAATGGCCCCTCCTGGGGCTCGCGGTTTGGGAAATCACATTCATTGTTTTGATTCTTTGCAACAGATGGCAGCAGCATGTCTGAGCTGGAGGGGCCTTGGAGAATGCATGTGTGACAGTTTGTATCAGGTGACCTCAGGCATCTTCCAACTGTGAACCAGTTATTTATTGTGGTCAGTTCTGGGTTTTTTGGAGGAAGGGTCAGTTTTCCTTAGCTCAGATCCAGCCGAAATGCTCTTGGGATGACCCTCACTGGTCCAGGGAACAGAGAGCTCTCCTTCCAGGCTGGTGCTGGTGTTGAAGTTTATTTTCACCTTATCCCACCTTGAGCAGTGTTACTGTTCTGAAAGTGGTTGCAGAGGCCATGTAGATGCCTATGGAGTCATGTGTGTACATTTGTGTTTATATGCATGAGGGTGTGTTTGTGTGTATATGAGTGTGTCTATGAGTGTGTCTATAAGTGTGTGAGTATATGTGTTTGTGCGTGTGTGTGGTGGGGGGCGGGGGAGAACTGGGCAAATATCTGGTCCCAGAAGAGACATTTTGCCAAGAGCAGTTAGTTGCTCAAATTTCCCTGCCTCCCTGGGGTCCTGCTGAGCCCCCGGAGCAGCACCAGCTGGGTCCTTTCTACCTTCATCTGTTCTCCGTACAGTGGACTATTTGCCAGGAAGCTGTCCCACTGCTCCAAGCTCCAGATGGTTGGTCTGGTCCAGAGCATAAAACAGGGCCTATTTCTTCCTCCCTAAACCATGACTCCCATTGACCACCTTCATCAAGTCTCACTCAGGGTAAGTGCTGGCTGCCGGGGCTCCTAGAGCCAGTGTACTGGCCAGGGCCTTGGCCTACCACTTCCTCTCTAGTCTGTGGGAGATACAACCCCTGCCCCTGCTCTCAGGAAACGTCCATTGAATGGAGAGACAGACACAGAAATGGAGGGATGGTGTAATTCATGCCGTGCACCTGACTAACGGGCCTAGACGCAGGTGTGAGCAGACCAGGTTTGCACAATTCTCCCTGGGGAGAATGCAAAGGAAACAAACCTTCAAAGCCTGCTGTTTATCAGACATGATGCTACACAGGCCTCATCCACTATCCCATTTAATCCTCTGCACTTAACAGATGAGGAGCCGAGGCTCAGAGCAGCGCAATGACTGGGCTATGGTCTCACAGTTGGATGAAGCGTGCCTCTGCTCCCAGGCCAACCGCTCCGCCTCTCTCTAAAGCAGCGGTTCTCAACCTGTGGGTCGCGACCCCTTTGGGGGTCGAACGACCCTTTCACAGGGGTTGCCTAAATACATCTGCATATAAGATATTTACATTACGATTCATAACAGTAGCAAAATTACAGTTATGAAGTAGCAATGAAAATAATTTTATGATTGGGGGTCACCACAACATGAGGAACTGTATTAAAGGGTCGCGGCATTAGGAAGGTTGAGAACCACTGCTGGCAGAGATGTCCAGCAAGTGCAATAGACGCTGGAGCCCTTCTGTGTCCCCTGGGAGAACCCAGGGCTGGCCCAGGGGAAGACTGGAGAGCTGCAAACCAGAAGACAAGCAAGCTAGAAACTGCTGGAGTGGCTGAAACGTTCTTTTCCTGCCACTCAAGTTTTACAAGAAAGCCGGCTTGGAGGGGGATGGAGGATCGGAAGGGGAGAGAGAGGTCAGGAGGAGAAAGGTGAGCGCAGAGTTCCTGTTACAGGTGAATCTGCTTGCTCAGCTCCAGCCTCACCCTTCTCTCTTTCTTGTACCCCAGCCTCCAGCACGTCTCCCAGGAGCCTCAGGCCCCAGTCACCCTAGAACCGCCTCCCTCCCCAGCTAAAGATCCATGTCTGAGAA